AAAGAAAAACAATGGATTGATTAGAATTTATACAAATTATCATGTCAGACTATATGCTCATATTTTATATAAAATACCTTAAATTGATTCAACCAATTCGATTTCTTCTGGGTTCAGAAATTTCAACTTATTTACTAGTTACGTCGTGAATTTAATCTGGATGGGGCTTGCATGCTTAATTGCTTATAGCATGGAGAAGCTACACTCGAGGACTGAATAACCCAAAAAATGATAGCTTGTCACGGACTTAATCGCAATGTGGCCCAACATAGCCTAAAGTGTGGGAAAAAACCCAAGTTCGTGACATGTTGGACCCTTGCACGAGGAAGGTGTATATATATATATTACTGAGAAAATTTGATTGTTAGAATGGAAAGTAGTTTGTTTTCTGGGAAAATTTCAATGCAGCAATGGCTACATCTCAGCCCAAAAAAAAAACATCTTTAATTTTTTTTTAAACTCTTTTAATTTCACATGTAATATTGAAATCGAAATATTGTAAATTTTGAGAAGGACCCGAAAATTTGAAAATGGGTTTATATTTCCTATACAATTTCACTTTTCCGTTTAACTCTAGAAATCAAGTTCAAAGCAAAGTACTGGCCCTTATTTTGGATATCCTTTGAAACATATCCGTTTATGAGGTTTTAGTGGTCCTAGACGAATATAAAAATTAGACCGATAATAATAAATATCGAAAAAAAAATTATAAGAGCCAGAGTCGTATCTGGGCCTGGGTAGTAGGCGCACCTGCCAGGGCCCAAAATTTTTATAGTATATTATACTTATTAAAAAATAATTTTATATTAATAGGGGATTATTTTTAATACTTATTACAAAGGTTAATTTTTGTCTAATATTTATTATTGTGGATTCAATTTTTTTTTAATATTTGTTATTAGGGGCCTACTTTTATAACCTTTTTCTAATATTTGTATAAGTGTCCAATTTTTTATCTATTTTTTTTTCTAACATTTGTTACTAAAAGCCCATTTTTTCAACACTTAGCCCAAGTTTTTAATTTATTTTTAGGAGTGTAGTTTAAAATTTAATTTCTTTTTTAATATTTATTTGTTATTATGAATCTAATTTTTTCAGTACGATTTATAAATGTCTAATTTTTTAGCATTTTTTATTATGAGAATACTGCTAAAATTTACTTTTTCTTTTAATATTTGTTATTAGGGGTCATTTTTTTTCAATATTTGTTATTATGGAACTACCCTTAAAATTTATTTTTCAACACTTGTTATTAGGAACAATTACTTAAATAACGGTCTGTAACCTCAACAATAACAATGATATCGTATGAAATTGCGATATCCATAATTATTATGTCACAATAGCATATGTTATTAAAAATTCACAATATCGATATTTGTAGTGACTGCAATATCATCTGTTATGTTCTCAATAGTGATAAACACAACACGGTCAAAAACACAAATATAAACCTTAATTTAAATCCTTGATAGGGGCCTAATTTTTTTTTCGCCCAAGGGCAACCAAAATCTCAGAAACGGGCCTAGTAAGAGCAAGAAAAAATAAATAAATTTTGTTAGTAAATTATTTTTTACGTTTAATAAACTATCTAAGAAATACAGACCATCTCAGACATTTTCGGGACTATAAGCGAAACTAAAATATAATCCCTTATAAAAGGAAAGTACATTCTAAAACTTTGAATAATTGATTTAATATTATTATATTAATAAAATCGTATAAAAATGGTTAAATCAAGGGCTTAAACTATAAAAGTAAAATTATGATTGAAAAAAATTAGGGACCTCAATTATAAAGGTAAAAAGTGAGATTAAAAAATTAGGGGTCTCGATTTTAATGTTAAAAAGTGAGATTGAAAAAATTAGTGGCCTAAATTATATAAGTAAAAATGAGATTGAAAAAAATTAGTGACTTCAATTATAAAGGTAAAAAGTGATATTGAAAAAATCAGGAACTTAATTATAAAGGCACAAAATGGGATTGAAAAACTTAGGATAATCAATTATAAAGGTAAAAAAATGGGATTGAAAAAATTAAGGGGCCTCAATTATAAAGATAAAAAGTAAGATTACAAAAATTAGAGACCTCAATTATAAATATAAAAATTAAATTAAATAAAATTAAAGGGTTAAATTATAAAAATAAACAATATAATAGAAAAATTAAGGGGCCTATAAAAAATGGGGGCTGAACAATTGCTTGGGTGTACCCCTAATGGCCATAAAAATAAGAAGTATAATTTTAATGAAAAGCGGAAATAATTTAAAAAATATCATATCAACATCGTTGTTATTTGTTAACGATGAATAATCAACAATAGCATATGTTATTATTTTTTAATTATATATGAATTCCACAACTCAGGCCCCCTTTTGCCCATGCCCAAATACTAGCCTGCTTTGGAAGCAATATGTATGGAAGATGTTCAATAGAATGCCTAAACCTAGACCTTGCAAATTTGACTCGAACTGATTTACACGATCCAATATCCTATATTAACCCGAACATGGTAATTAAATTTGATATGATACTCGAATCATACCCAACCAGAACCATACCCGATTAGTGAAATCGAAAGCAACTCGAACCAAAATTAACCCGACCCGAAAGCAACTCGAACATATTGAAACTGATAAAAAGTTATTAAACAATAAAAGTTATTTTCAATAATAAATTAATTTAAATAAAATTGATAATTTATTTAAAATATTAGATTTATAATAGAAATAATAGAAAGTTTAAGAGGAATATAAAAGTAAGAATCTAATTGTAAGATTGAAAAATGTAATAAATAAAGTTTACTTATATTACTTGTAATAAAAATATTAGATTTATAATAAAAATAATAGAAAACAATTAAAACAAAGGAAATAATGTTAAATTTATAATAAAAATAATATGAAGTTTACTTATGTTCGAACTAAAATTTAACAAATAAAGTTATGTGTTATTTTTTAAATTTAAGAAAAATATTAATTTTATAATTGAAAATAAAATAAAAATTTTAATAAAAATTTATTTCTTTATCAAATAGTTCTCATTATAAACTTTTCATACGAGATCAATATAAAATTTTGATAACGAATTCTAACACGTATTACAGGATCGTATTTGTGTCAAATTATCGATTTATCATCTATAAATGATGGTTTAATTCAAAATATTGAACGATTGAGAATTGAAATTAGGCATAAATAATAAGATTAACAAACAAGAAGACATGTTTTTACAAGAATATATAAATAATTCTATATATACTTGATTTTGATTTGACTCATAAACAATTCAACCCGAATTGACCTGATATAAAGATTGACCTAAATCGAAAATCAACTGATCTGATATTGATCTGAACTGGAAAACAACAGATCAGATAATCACTAGACCCTCCACCCGACCCGACTCAATTTACCGTATGCCAAAACTAGATTCAATCCAAATAAAATTAATCTAGACCTAAAACTATCTAACTCAAACTCGATTCGAATGACCCGTTTGTCACCCCTACCTAAACCTAAACCTAAACCAAAATTTTAGCGTCGCCTGAGAGATTCGAAGATCGAATTCTTGTGGGAAAATCTCATGTACTTAGCAGGCATACGTCTTAACCACTCGGCCATCGTATTTAGTAATTATTAGATTTTGATATCGATTCTTGACTGAATTTGGTTCACCCAATTCGTTTTTCCCCCCTGATTGAATCATTACATTATCAGAATCGAAGTTAAAGAAATAGGTAGGCAGAAAAGTGTGCGTTTTCGATGAAGCTCTTGCCACTGCAGAATCCTTTCCTTCCCTCGACAGTGTTGGTGATAGGCTCAATCGACACGCCAAGCTCTTCTTAGTACATCTCCCACTCCACCCTATGTAATTGATTGGGAAGATCTTCCCGATATTCTTTTAATTTATTTTTGGCCGAATTTGTGTTCTTTTAATTCGACATTTATGACTGAAATAGAGAAACCCAAATCTTAATTTTTGATTAGATTGCCCAAAATTTTGAAAACGATTTTAGATTTTCTATACAATCAGTTTTTTGTTTAACGTACAAGCTAAATCTTAGCCTTATTTTATATGTCGGTTAGATGTTTGATAGAATGCCTAAACTCCAAAAATACAGCGTCACCCGAGAGATTTGTACTCTCGCGGGATGAACCCATGTACTTAGCAGGCACACGCCTTAACCACTCGGCCAAAACAACTAGTTGTTGAATGGTCATGAATAGGTTACTTTCGACTAAATTGATTTAACCAATTCTATTCTTCTTGGGTTCACAAATTCAAACTTTCACTAATTACATCGTGACATTTTATATCAGAATGGAGCTTAAAATAATAGCTATGGTAGAACAGTGCGCTTTCGTTTAGCCCATGCCACTGCAAATAGTAAGACTTCCTTAAAATAATAGTAAGACATTTAAGACTGAAATCGAGAAAACCCCAAATCTTAATTCTGATGAGAAGACAGCTGCTTCAGACTCCAGATGACTACTGCATGAGGTTCCAAATGTTATTATTGCAGAGGAAGTAGAACCTGAAACTTCACCACAAGCTGGTAACCCCCTTGCTAACCATTAAGAGTAGGCAGAAAAGGAATGCAATTGCTACTAGGTTCTGTGTTTTGCAACAAATACAAACTTATTCCATTTGTTGCAGTTCATTAGCTTGATGTTACAGGAACAGCTAATCCGAACAAGAGGAAGTGATGTCGGGAGCATGCTGGTTGTGAATGTACCAGAAGAAAACAGTGCGCCATAGTCGAACACATTGGATACCACTCGAGTGACTGATTTGAGTGACACGATGATGAAGAAGAACATGTGGATTTAAACAATGTTGAGTTTTTCAGCGACTAATGGTGTAATTTGAACTAAAACTTTATATCTCAGTTTTTGTTGTGCAACTAAAATGCAGCAATGGAGATGTTTAATAAGTTTTTAGCTATTTTTTCTCTCTCGCTTGTGTTTCTTAACATGATAGTCAAGAAAGAGTAAAAAGTGGAGATGCGGGGTATCGATCCCCGTACCTCTCGCATGCTAAGCGAGCGCTCTACCATCTGAGCTACATCCCCATTTGTCTCTTTGTTTCAATACTATATATACCATATCTATAACCAATATGCCGTAGAAAAACATAAACATCTTCGCTTATGATGCTATCCTTGGAATAGGTGAGGACGTGAGGTGACTTTAAATAGTATAAATTTAAATGTGATAAATATATTTTTGAAAAAAAATATTATTTTCGCACGAGACTACCCACTATCCCTAATTATCCTACGTGTCCGCACGTTTTCAAAATGAAAAAGGACGGACCCACCTTTTTGACCGTTAAAGGTGCAATTTAAAATGTCAGCCGTTTCTCTTCTTTTTCTTCCCACTTTTGATTTTCATTCTCCGATTTCCAGGAAATTCATTTCCATTTTCCTCTTCACCTTATCCGATCCCTAATTTTCTACTATATCAATCCCCAATCCGCACCCTTTCCTTTTGAAATACACTTTGATTGTAGAAGGCGGATGGCGTCAAGATCACTTGCCAAAGATATTATCACTCTTCGCGGCTCAGCAGCAATCGTGAGCGAGTTTTTTGGTATGTGTTTTCTCAAATCCTGCCCATGTGGCGGTCTCTCTCTCTCTCTCTCTCTCTTTTTGTGGTTGTTGACAATTCTTTTTGCCTAATCTCCTTTTTTTTCCAGGTTATGCTGCGAATAGGTAAAAGATGAATCGATGTATTCATCTGGGTCTCTCCTTAATGATTTTCAGGGTTTAGGGTTTAATTAACCAATTGTGTTTTTGTTTAGCATTCTTTACAATCGAGGGGTTTACCCGGAAGAAAGCTTCGCGAAAGTGAAGAAATATGGACTTCCAATGTTGCTTACTCAAGATGAAGGGGTTAAATCCTTCATTTCCAACTTAACAGCCCAGCTTTCTGGTACAATATCTTCCATTTTTCCTTTTACTAGAGAACTGGACTAAAATGGCCTACATTTTATCATGAGCAAGTGTTGGTACAATATCCCTTTCATTAATCATTTCGTTTTGAAACTGAAATTGTTTTGAAAAAGAATGGCTGGAAGCTGGGAAGCTACAAAGGGTTGTATTGGTTGTCATGAGCAAGGCCACCAATGAGGTGTTGGAGAGGTGGAATTTTAGCATTGAAACAGACAGTGAGGTTGTCGAAAAAGGGTAAATTTTGTCTTCTCTTTTTTATTTGACATGTTTATTTAATCAGTGTATGGTATTTGTTTGAAATCTGAGAATTTGTTTGCAGTGTGTCCAGGGAAAAGAGTGACAAAGAAATCATGAGAGAAATACAAGCAATCATGAGACAGATTGCTTCAAGTATTACCTACTTGCCGTGCCTTGATGAACCATGTAAGCCAATAACATCAAAACTAAACCCTGTTTCCCCCAGATTTAGTAGTAAGTGTTGGATCCATAACATGGATTGGGCGCTGGTCCGGATGTATTTGGAACTAGTGTCGGACATGGATAGAGTCATCTTCTTCCTAGGTTTCATAGTCGTCTCTCTCACATGTGGTGTTGTTTACAGGCGTGTTTGATGTATTAGCATACACTGATAAAGATGTTGCAGTGCCATTCACTTGGATTGAGAGTGACCCCAAGTTGATTGCAAATCCTCAGATGGTGAAGTTGCATTCGTTTGATACTAAGGTAAAAATGGTTGCAAAATCAGTTGATCAAAAGCCATTGAAATCAAAAAATAGAGGTTTCTTCATCATCTTCTTCTTAAGAAATTCTGTGTGTGTGTGGTTGATGCAGATACACAAGGTGGACACTCTTGTATCATACAAGAATGATGAATGGGACGAGCAGTAGTTTGATCGGAACTCCCTTTTTCTTTTTCCTTCTCAATTGTGATTTGGGAATCTTCTATTCACTTGATACCCACAACTGCCATGAATTGTTTTTCGTGGTCCGTCATCTTATGCTTTGTTAATGAAAATTCCCTGCATTCCTTCCTTTTTTTTTCAACTCGAGAATAGAGCTTCGGCTTATTAATGAAACTTCGTAAATGCATCCTAGTTGAAGGTCTTTACTTGATTTAATTTTTTTGTCTTGAAATTTTAATTTATTTAATTATTAAATTTAAAATTTTGATCTGATAAAAAATTAAAAAAAATAATTTCATCTTTTAAAGTTTAATTCAAACACTATTTAGGCCAATTTTTTTTTTTAACAATTTTTTACTTAGGTAGAAGGAAAGAGGAATTTTATTATTAACTATTACTGTATTGACATTCTAGGAGAAAAGAGATGTCCGCTAAGATTTTAATCAACAACTCTAGAGATTGTTAATATTAATCAACTAATCTAATCCAATTTAATTTAATTTTTGTCAAAACTTAACTGTTTAAATACTACAATGAAATCCCAAATTCCACTATTTAGTCGATATTCCCAATTGAGCCAACGGGAGAGAACACATGAAAAGGCTGTCGATTCGTTCTTTAAAATTCCATGTTCATTTGCTGCCCCTTCCATTCTCGTTGCTCTGGAGTCGCTGGTTATGGCTGCGAATGTGGAAATAGCTATGACCATAACCTAATTTTGTTGGGTTTGAAATCAAGAAAATACCCATTTTTCGTTCTTTAGCAACTCAACTTCTCTCAGGTAAACACATTTGCCCATTTATTTTCCTATGGTTTTTACTTAAAACCCCCATTTATTGACTGAAAGAAGAAAGCTGCTTGCTTTGTTCGGCATTTTTTAATCTTTAATTTTGCTTTCGTTGTTTTGTTGGATCATATGCTTTTGTACAAGTGACTGATCACTTGCAAGAACAGAATGCCTGCATTTCTTGAGATTTTGGAAAGAGGTTTTGAATCTGTGTTGGGAAATAGTCGTTCTGGATGTATGTGCTTTACTGATATTGATATAGGAAATCAATCTAATTATTTTCCTTTTTGGTCCAGAACTGAAATCCACCCATGTTTTGTAACAATAAAAACAGCTAATCCAAAGCCTAGTTCCCTCGCAACGTGCAATTAATTGTAGCACCACTAGATTTTGTGCCATTAGTACGTACTTCCATTGTCTACGAGCAGGTGTGGTGGTGAAGTGGATGTCAAAGATTTTGTACCATGATTTGGTTCGTTCGGACCAAACTCTCCGGCCAAAGACCACAAGCACCTTCAGTACTTCTTTGGGTTTTTGGAAGGGGAAATGCCGAGCTGAGAAAAATATTTGCGTCCAACGAAACCAAGGTTTTCTGATTGCAGGTCGCGAGGTTACTTCATTAGTATTTGCCATCCATTCGGATGAGCAGCCGAATTGGCTCGGTGCATCCCCAGATGTTCTTGATAGCTTTCTAGGAGGTGGTGTTCTAGAAGTGAAGTATCCTTAATAACAAAGGCAAACCTGAGACCGCACACTTCAATGGTGAACCATGCAATTCTATTACATGCCTCAAAGTTCAGGGTCAAATGGTTTACTTGAACCCATGTAGTCCACAACCACAACATTTGGAAGCCTGGCTAATGAAAGCATATACTGAATAGTAAAACTAGGCTACATTCAAGGTCGTATTAAGGAGGCACAACAATCGGTGATAATCAATAGCCAATACAACCAGACAAGTTTAATGAGAGCAAATTGTATATAAACATGTACCATTGTATCATTTGATAGTTCATCATCACATGGAACGGAACACAAACAGAAATTCCGATTATTAAGTAAATAAGTCGGTGATCATGAGAGTGGGCGTCAGTCACATTCGACGGCCACCACAGTTTCCCAGTTCTGAGCAGAAGGTTCTGTAAACAGATTCCACTTTTGAACACATAAGTTAATACTTGAACTGCTTCCTTGGCAAACTCACTTTCCACCTTTATTCTTGACATCAGCAATGATCATCCACAAGCAAACACAAATGTGCGAGAAGAATCCACCAAAACCAGAATATGCTTCTCTTGGACAACATATGCAAGTGCACTTCTCTCTTTTCTCCAAATATCACTAACCCATTAGCTCAGAGAATCTAAGGCTCGGTCAAGTCCAGTAATAGGCTGAAATTTTGAGCAGAATAAACAAGCAACGATAAAGATGGAGACAAATCATAGTATATTGCTTTCTGGCTGCCTTGAACTATCACGAACACATCATCTTAAGGGCATTCAGAAACCATAAAATGTGAAACATTTCAGTCTACCCATGGAGATGAAGGTTTGCAGTTTGACGAAGAGTGAGTTGTGACTTTGAACAATCCGAACAAAGCAACTCCAGACAGAAGTTCTCCTCGTACTCACTGTCATTAAAGCACCTCCCACATTGAACACATCTTGCCACACAAATAATGCATGCCCTGCATGACTGAGCAGCACGCCCTTTCTGCTGGCAACCCTCTGCTGGACAATCATAAACAAGCCTCGCGTTTTTGCATCTTGGGCACATTTCAATATCAATGGCACGATCATCTTCACAAGAGAGATATATATTTCTTCTGCTATAAAAATGTGGCTTGAGCTCAACCTGCTGAATTTGGTTGTCCACACCCAACAAGAATTTCAGCTCTTCCAAGTGCATTTGTGTCACACCATAAAGACTGCCAATCCTCAGCTGCTTCACACCTAGTGAGCCCATAGACTTCAAAGCCTTTAGGCTATTCAGAATACCATCGACACTTAGTTTTGTACATCCAGGTACACTCAACTACAGGAAGAAAAAAATATTTAGTTAGTTTGTACATCCAGGTACACTCAACTACAAGGAAGAAGAAAATATTTAGTTAGCTTACAAAAGAAAAGAAACAATATTAATCCATGTAAAAAGATGGAGGAAATATTTTATTTAACAAACATTTCATAATTGAAGCTACTAAAATTAAAAACCAAATTCCCAAAGAAAACAGAAACAATTATGAAGTTTCCCATAAAAAGCTAGAACATGCAATATTACAGCCAACAACTAGCTCAGAAATTTGTTTTATAGTTGGGTAGCAAAGCATATTGGCAAAGTAGAAGCTAAATCATTTAACCCAACAACACTGAAAGTTACTTAGAGCAATTCAGTATATGCATTGGACCTAGACGTATGTGATGCTCCAGCATAAAACATAAAGGAACACTAAATCACAGAAATCCTCTTCACATACATGCCTCTATTATGTGAAAAACTATATTTTTTGTTTTATATAGTCACTTCATGAGAATATATACATTCATCATATTGTGAATATGTCTAAAGATTGCAGGATTTAGTTGTAACTACTCACATTTTCTTTTAAAGCCGCATACCAATATAACAAAAATCAGGGAGCTTATAGCATTATCATCATGCATTCTATGCCGACATATGCATATTCAGTCATTTTCTGGATTACAAAACTACTAGAGTTTAGATTCATAACTGTTTATAATTTTCTTGAAGTAATCTGTAGCAAACAAATAAGTAAGCACAATAATCCAAAATCGGAGAGCAAATTGCAATTTCACTCGTTTGAATTATAAGATATTAACACATTCATACAAGCATAATCCATAATATTCCAGTTTGTATAATTCTTACAATGATAAGATAAAACCCAAATGCAGATCAATAAATTCAAGGATAAGCGCACAAGTAAAAACACCTACAACGAAGTAACCAGAACAACCAAGACTTAAAAAACAACAGAAGAATCAAAATTTCAATCAACAAATCACCTTGATTAGTTTTGGATTATTTTCGACCACATGCTTTAGGCCTTCATCGGTAATCCTTTGGCAATCAACCAGGCTCAAGCATTGCAAGCTACCTTGACATCTACTAGCTATTTGTAAAAGAATCATCAGTAATCTTCTCATTTAGTGGCGGATCAATGTGAATACTCCTCCATAAGAGAGGGTCATTCTGAACTATAGATCTCAGAGATGTACAAACATTTTCAATGACGAAAAGATCCCGCACACCAAGATAACCAAGGGCCAAAATAAGAGCTTCATGAGGAGATCTTTCATGTCCCTCAGAAAAATCCTCAGAGTCCTGAAATTCTTCATTTTCCTGATCAAGCAAATCCATATCTCCATTTCCAAAAGACAAAACGTCCTCTACATCACATGCTGGTCCAAGAGCAGCACTACCAGACACGTCCCCTCTTTCCTTTGCATGAGGACACCCACCAAATCCACAACATATACCACCTTTACCTTCAAATCCCATGCTTCCTGGGAACTTTTGGAACCACATGGCATTGTTCCAAATAAAGTTCAATCCGGCAAACAATTGATAACTCCCATCACCAGTCGCCACATCATCTCTCACACAGCAGCCATAATCAGTTTCCAAATCCTCAAGCCAACCAGTAATTGCAGTGAAAGTAGTGGAGATGTCCATTCCAAAAGGATCAGACGGCAAAAGATCAACAATGTCATCAGAAGAAGTCTCCTGAGAACCACATCGATCACCACTCCTATCTCTTCCATAATCAAAGCAATCATTCAACTGATGATTCGAAAACCAAGGTTTCGAACACCCATCTCCATTCCACTCCGGGATACCTTCAACCAGGTATCCATTTGCGATTCTCATAGGAGAAACCAGATTGTCTTCATTCATATTAGCAGGAAAGATAGGTCGATGGGAAAAATTCAAAGCCATTGTTCAAAAACAACCAATCCCCTAATCTTTCTTTCAAATTTTAACCAAACATCCTGAAGACTTTTCTTTAAATGCAAACCCTAAAAATTTCCTCCTCACTGGTTTTCTCGCTCTTGCTTTTTTCCCTTTCTTTTTTCTCTCTTGAAAATGAAATTAAAATGAAAATAAAAATGGGATAGTTTAGCGGAGGATCTAAACTAACAAGAAAAACCCTCGATTTTTGACGACAAACTAAAACAACGCACCAAAATTTCACGGAGATTTTCTTGTTTAAAAATACCTAAAACCAGTTAAAAGACCAAAATGGAGAAAAACAGAAACGGTGGCGTAACTGAACTCTCTACACACCCCCAAAAAATCAATATCAAAATTTCTAAAATCTCAATATCTTTTCTTCTTCTTTTTCAAGTTTTTTTTAATCCCTCAAAACTAATCTAGCAGAAACTAAGGTTCGCGAACGAATCAAGAAAAAGTAAAAAAATATACATTAGAAAGAAAAGATAGATCAAGCAAGGAAAACCTGGATTGAGCGATAATCAAATGCAAATAATGATTAAGATTGCTACCGAACAACGATTCCCGAGTTTTACTCCCGCGAAACGCAACCAACAAAGATGATACCAAAATAAGAAGGATTATTTTGGGTTGGGAGAAGAAAAGAAAACCTCTTCGAATTTAGGGCCGAAACTAATGATTTTTATTTCTTCTTTTAGGCTTGCTGGTGGTTGAGAAACTGGGGAACTCGATCCAATACAGGCAAACGAGGAAGAGGTTTTATTTATTTTTCTATGGAGTGCGAGAAAACGCAAGATAGAAACAGAAATGAAAAATGACTAAATGGAAAATATGCAATTTCGGGGCGAGAGAAGAAAGTGGCGGATACAAGGTAACGCTGAAAACACTCAAATCCGTGAATTTTGGCTCCCATGTAGGATAGATAAGCCTTCAATCGAATCCAAAAGAGTCGAGTAAAAAATTTAAAGTTTTTAATTCGTATTTGATTTAAATTTTTTTAATCGAATCGATTTTTTAAATTTTTATTTAAATTTAATTATAAATATTTATAATATTATTTCATTTCAATTTATGTGACTTTGTATAATTATATATACAATACAAATATATTTTTTATATTTTTTTATATGTGATATACATATATTATATAAAATTTAAGGACTCGAGTCAAACTTGAAAATAAATCTACTAATCACTAAAAAATTTAAGTTATTCAAGTTGTATTTTACAACTCGATTTGAATTTGAACTTTTTTCGAGTCTAGTCAAGTTTATGAAATTATAATTCAAACTCAATTCGAGTCGAGTCTTTTCGAGTCAAATCGAGTTAAAAAAAATCGATTTTTCAAATCGAGTCGAGTTTTGCTCACCCTTACAATCATGCCTACTTTAAGAGTTTTTTTTTTGAATTTTGAAAATATAAATATATTAAAGTAATTTTAGAAATAACAAAATTATATATTTTTTATAACACCATCCATATTTAATGCTCATTGGTAAATTGATTCCGAATCAAATTTTGTACACAATTGTTTTTTAATTTATAATATTAAATATTTAATTAGACTATTGTTTAAAAATATCTAATACTTTGTTTATTTAAACTAACGGGTAGAAATAATAAAAATAACAAAATTTATTCGTAAAATTAAAAAAAAACACTTTATGAATTTTGATGATAATAATATTATTATAAAATATAGTCATAAATTTTAAAAATAAAAATAACTAAACGATTAGAATTATGATAAAAAAATTTAATACTATAATAAAATTATATCATATTAAATTTTATAAAATTGAATTAAAATCACATTTTAACTAATAATTAATTGATTTAGTAGGACAAAATATCATATCTCTTACGTAAAATCAAAAGTTTAAATTTTGATACTTACAAATAAAATAAATTAAGTTAGAAGAATAATTTTCATCTATGAAATACTAAATTTAAATTGGTTGATTAATATAATATATATAAATAATTATAAAAAATAGACTTGAGTTTAAAGTGATAAATGGAAACGTGTTGGTGCAGTAAAAAGCTTGAGGAATATTCTTTTATTTTCCTCTGTGGCGGGAATGGTAGAGAAGGAAATCGACGAGCTATGCTGGCTTCCTTGGGTCGAATTTCCTTTTGGGAAGGAGTTAGCGTTTCCGAACCGTTGGATTTTTTATTGGATGACTGAAGAACGGATAAGATTGGGAGAGTGTGATTGGCGGAGAGGGATACGTGTCGTCCAAGTTTGTAAACGGGTCAAAGATTTGGGATCTCCGCGTCCGGACCCACGCTCCAACCCTACCAGGTTTGAGATCCGAACCACACTACTCCTGCTCTCTTTTTGGTCAGTTGTGCTAATCTATTTTCTTAATATCTTTCATTTGGAGAAAAAAATAGAAATATGAATAACAATAAAATTGTTTTAGAATGTGTAGATTATTTTGTGAAAATTGACAATAATTTCTATAGAAATATAAATTTTAATGTTTGAGGCACAGATATAATATTGGTAAGCGTGGGAGCTAAGTATTTGTGAAAGCAACATCTTCTCCTTGGTAAGTAAGTGCATGGGCGTGGCTACCACGACTTGAGATAATATTATTAAGGGTAAACTGCACGGGTGACCACTAAATTATTATCCATTTTTATATTGACCACTGATGTTTTGGTTTGGTTAATCAGACCATCAAACTATTTAAATGATTCAATTAAGCCACTTATCGTTATTTTTTAACGGAGTTGATGAACTGTCAGTTAATAAAATTGATATAATTATATATTTGGTCCTTAATATTTATAAATTCTATCAATTTAGTCACTATTTTAATTCAATTAAATAAAGTTAACCTAATAAATTAATCAGTAAATTGGAGGTGACACGCGTCAATTAAATGACTAATTTATTAAGTTAAATTTATTTAATTAAATTAAAACAATGACTAAATTGATAGAATGTGTAAATATTAAGGACCAAATATATAATTCTATCAATTTTATTAACTGACATGTCATAACCTCCGTTAAAAAAATAATTGTCGATGACTTGATTGAAGCATTTAAATAGTTAGGTGATCTGACTGAACAAATAAAAACGTCAGTGGTCAATATGAAAATGGATAATAGTTCAGTGGTCACCCGTGTAGTTTATCCTACTATTAACATAGAATAGGAAAAAACGACGACGTTGGAGCCAATGTTCGAGCTTCAACTAGAACTATCTTTCGACCAGATAACAAGGCATGAATCCAACGCGACTAAATTTTATTATTTATTATATGTAAATTAATATACATGGAACACCAACCTTCTAATCACTTTTGATTTCTTCAATCGGTGTTTAACAGATGTCCGGGTTCAACAAAGAGTTGATTTTATTGCAAAACAAAGAGCAGCCTAACGTGTCCAAAGACATCTTTTCCTCTGGAATCACCAGTTGCTTTGCTTACATCGGTTGAACAAGTTGTCGTGCCACAAGCTTACTTCCACTGGCAAAGCAACAGTAATCCCTCGTCCCCAAGCCAAACCACCCCATCCCAGTCCCCCAAGTCATCTATTTTCTAGTCATATTTTATAAGAAATTCCAAATATATTTGTTTATCAAGGATAAAACTTTTTGAATTATTATTTATGGTATTGATTATATTTATTTTATGACACTATTTATGTCCATTATCTATTAGAATTATGAATAAAAAATATTAATAAAATATTATCATAATTTAGAATTAACTATCTCCGTCCATGTCTCTGAGTAATACGCGTGTGTACCATGTACGAAGCACCCACTGCTCTGCGCCGAACACGTAGGGTTTAGATATAGAGTTGAGTTGGGTTGGATTTGAAGTAGGAGAGTTATTAGAATTGGTAGCCGAGTAAGCTGAGGCATTCATTTCACCAGCTACCGCATTGCGCCGCTGTAGATTCTAACCTCAGCGTTTACACCTGTCCGCCTTCATATATCCTTCCCATTATGCTTTCGGTTGGATGTTTGGATTTTATTCATGATTCAAATTTAATTCTAAAATTATCAATATAAGATTCTTTTTTTTATATTTGTACCAAAAAATATTCTTTTTTATATATTTTATAATATATAAATGATTTTTAAAGATTTTAAATCTAATTTTCATCCTATTCAAAAGAGAGGAAAAAGAGAATACCTTAAAAATAAGAGTGTTTATAGTAAATTTAGAATTAATAATTAAAAAATAAATAACTTAACTGATTGACCAAATATATTTATTCATAATATATAAACAACTAAAATAGACGGTAAAATTAAATAAAATCAGAAGAATATGCACGGTTATAAGAAATTATTTTTCAGGATTAACATGTATCTATTTATCATATAAAAAAAATTTATTCAAAAGGAACATACCACTAAAATTTTAGGACGGAAACCCTAAACCAAATCCTATTATAGAGTATTAGTTTGTTGAATCATTCGACTATTAAAAGTTACAAATGGTCACTTGACTATTTGCTATGTTCCAAACTCGTCATTTTCTGTTAATAAGTGGACGATACTCTGAGCTGAACGTTAACCTGTTGACTGTGATATGATAAAATATGATCCTAGAATCTCAAACGACTATCATATCCTAGTCATTATGTTAAGGTCTAGCTTAAATAATTGTCAGTTTTAACAATAAATGATAAGTTTGGAACATAATGAATAGTTGGATGATTATTTTGTAACTTTTAATAGTCAATAGACTTAACAAAGTAGTGTTCTATAGTCGGAGGACTATTTGTACACGTTACCCTTTTAAATAATAGTGTTGGTCATTCATTAACAAAAACGACACAAAAGATGTAATCATGTGGCTCATGCTCTCGCTAGTTGGGTCAGTTATTCTGGTAGTGCATTATTTTTTTATTCGGTTTGTCCCGATATCATTGCTAGTGACATTCGTAAATATGTAATTTCTTCTTGATTAATGGAATTTTGGACACTCTTTTCCCTTTATTAGGATTAGAAGGGGTTTTTAATGAGACCCGTATTATTTTTAAAAAATCCAACACAAAAGCAAAAAATTACAATCGTAAAAATAATATAAAAGCAAAATTTTAAAAATGAATATTAATTCATTTTGATGTAACTATAAACCATATCTATGTCCAACCATTGTTCTCTCTTTTGTTTATATAAGGTTGTTTTCTAAGGAAGATGCTATGCAGATTCTTTCAGTTCCTATTGCACTTTGTGCAGAAGATGTTATTGTTTGGGCTAACCATGATTCGGGTATCTAATCAGTTAGATCTGGTTATTGGTGGTTACAGAAACAACATCATGATAATGAGAGAAAGTCTAAATTGTTGTCAGTTATGACTAAATTGAAAATTCTTCCTAAGATACGTGTGTTTGCTTGACGGGTTGCCCGGAATGCATTACCTATGGGTAGTCGACTTAAAAGTGCTGGTTTTGGTGATGGAATTTGTCCTATGTGTTCTAATGGGGAGGAGACGATTATAAATGCCATGAGGGACTGTCCTGTAACTTTGGAGACTTTACTTCTAGAAGATCTGCCTCCTTCTATATTTTTAAGTACTATGGATAGTCCTTTATTATGGATGGAGGAAGTATTCTCTATTCTAGGAATTGATGATTTTGCTGGTTTTTTTATAATTATATGGAATGTCTGGAATAATCGAAACTCCTTTGTTCATTCTGACAGGTTTCAACCGGCGTAACTCTTGGTGACTAATGCAAAGATATTACATCAGGACTATTTAAGGGCTATTAGTGTGGGGATGAATAAACAACGGTCTACAAATACTGCTATACGATGGACTCCACCTTTGGAGGGAGTTATCAAAGTGAATGTTGATGGTGCCTTTGTTGCGGAGCACCGACTGTCTATAATTAGAGTTGTTGCTCGTGATAAGTGTAGACATGTTTGTGGTGGTTTGACCCAATGTTCTGTTGGATGTTTTGAGGCGGGTTTTGCAGAACTATCTGCTTTACTCGTTGGTCTTAGAATGACTTGTGATATGAGATGGTCTGATGTTCAGATTGAAATTGATTCCTTGATGCTCGTCCATAAGATTACACAAACTTCTACAAATATTTTCACCCTTGGGGTGTACGTTCAAGAGGCTCATACTATTTTTCAGGATCATCCTCGTTTTTGTATTTTGTATACTCCTAGAGAGTGTAATCAGGTTGTTCATACATTAGCCAGTTGGGCTTTAAATTCGGGTGGTTCTTTGTTTTTTGAGTCGGTTTTTCCCGACATCATTGTTCAGGATGTTAAAAACGATGTCATTGATCTTTGATTAATATAATTTGGGCACTATTTTCCCCTTATTAGGTTTAGAATGGATTTTTAATGAGGCCTATGAGTTTCATTCAAAAAAATGAGCATTGTGTTAAAAGAAATTTATTATTTTGTTTGAATTATATATTTTTTTAAAACCGGTAATTCTCTTTTAATGTTTTATTATATTAGCATTTGAATGTGGTTATCAATTAAAATACGAAGGTTAAAAACCACTCAAATTAAATTAAATATAGTTCATTAATTTATGACTGTGTTTTGATTTTATTTATATATATTCTGAAAGTTGTATTATGTCTATACTTTATGGTTGTAAATTATATTTTTTTTATTATTTTCTTTTGTTAATTATGAAATGTAGGTGAGAGTGTATTACATAATTTATCTAAAAGTGAGGTAAAACTTCAACGACGAGGACTTGGATGCTATCACTCTATATTTTTTGCTTCATATTTTTACTGTATAATGTTACTGCAGAAACATGCTTCCGATAGTGAAAAAGAAAACGAACACAAAAATTAGTACAAACACAAAAGGGAGTTTTACATAAATTTTTATATACTCTTAAAATTTATCTTTTTAATATTTGCTATTAGAAGTTACGTTTTTAAATTTTCCCCTAGCATCCAAAATCTCAAAAACGGACATAAATACAACTATTAAAATATATAATTATTCAAAAAATTTAAATTTTAAGATAGGTACGTGTCGATCCTGGATGGACTATTTCCAGAAACGGGCCATTGGTCACTTGGGCAATAAACAATGTTTAACTCGCTTAGGCAGGGTTGGTCCATTTATTCAAGTTGCTTACAACACCAACGACCAATCGTTCAAATTTATTCAAGGGTTGGGCCATTACTTACTGACATAATGTTTTACTATATTAAAAAAATATATACTACTGCAAGTGTTGTTATATTAGTTGCATAAAAATTTTAATAGTCCAATCGTCATTTTTTAAAAGTTAAAATAATTAACAAAAAATAACTTTTAGAGTTATATTCAATGTTATTTTTATAAATCTGGAGCAAGTATAATATAATATATATTCAAAGATTTCTCTCAATTATTTAACAATAAATGTTAATATCTTATATGTACGATGTTCGAACTCTAGACCTTAAACGATACATATCATTTAACCATCTAGATCACTTAATTCACTACTCGATGTTTTTTTAAAATAAGAATAAATTTAACAAAAATATAAAATTTGAAGGCAAATTTATTACAAAGCCTTTAGTATGGACTCGCCTAGAAAAAAGGTAGATTAGTATGCAGCTACAAGGCGGATGATATTTTCTAGGGTAAATTACAGAGTTGGTCACTTTTATTTCAATTTTATAAACGTATGGTCATTCAATTCAAAAAACATAATTCATAGTCACTTTCTTTTTGTTTTAATTAAGCTGTGATAATTGAAATGATGACTTCCGTTAGTTCGATGACATGAGACGTTAGTAAAAAGGTTTAATTTTTTTACTTTAATCCTGAACTTTAGATAAAATACTAGCTAAGGATCATTTTATAAATTTAAATTAATTTAGGGATAAAGTTCTAATTTACCCTTTTTATATGTTTTCTTCCTCGACCCCATCTTCTTGCTTCCCACACCTCTACAACCATGACCCTCGCAGACCTAAATCCACGCCGTCGGCCACCGTTCATCAATGGTCACTACTCCGAATGTCGTCGTCAGCGAACGAAGAAGTCCAAATCAATATCAATCGGAGACGAAGAAATCCAAACGCCTCTTCAATTTTTTTTCTATGATGACATCATGTTTCATTATTCGGCAAAAGAAATGCGCTGCAATAATGAAATCAAACTACTTGAAGGTCCGATTTGTTTCCCTATCCCAGTCTTAATTTTATTTACAAGCAAAACATTATGAATAACAGATTTTTTGAAACCATTCTAAAGATAATGATTTCTTCAAAAATGATTCATATTATCCAGCAATTTCATAAATGATCAGATATGCGCTTCAATAGCATAAGTCACCCATTATTAAAAATGTTAGGGCGTTTTGTGTATACCTTAAGCCTCTGCCCCAACCAAAAACCAAAACAAAGGTGAGACCGTCAGATATAGAGTATCAGAAATCTGCAAAACCATCAGAGATTGACAGTGGTTTGGACTTTTTCCTTCTCTAACGTTGATGTTCGGAGTAGTGACCACTGACAAACGGTAGCTGGCGGCGTGGGTTTAAGTCTACAAGAATCACAGCTCTAGAGAAGAGAGAGGTGTGCGGCACAAGAAGACGGGATTTCGGAAGAAAACATATAGAAAAGAGTAAATTAGAACTTTGTTAAATTACTTTGAATTTATAAAATGGTCCCTAATTAGTATTTATCTAAAGTTTAGGGGTTAAAGTAAAAAATTAAACATTTTTACTAACGTGTCATGTTATCAAACTAACGAAAGTCAATGTTTCAATAATCACATCTTAATTAAAATAAAACGAAAATGACTACGAATTATATTTTTTAATCGAGTGACCATACATTTACAACACTAAAACAAAAGTGATCAATTCTATAGTCTACCCGATTTGGAATTTTAAGCATTGAATCAGTCATATTAAAAAAACAGAAACGGTTGGATTGAAAAAATAATAATAAATTATTAAATCGGGTAACATATAGGGTAAACTACTAGTACTAAAATCATCTATTTTATTTCTTTTTAATATCTAAACTTTCATTTATTTTAAAATTATACCTAACAATGACATTTTATTTCATTTAAGTACCCATCATTAAAAACTTATGTTAGAATTTATTATGGGTAAATTAAATCATTCATCATTTAACTATCTTCACTCTTATTTTGGTCACTAAAGTTTAAAAAATTTAATTTAACTATACAACTTTCAAATTATTATTGTTTTAATCGCTCTAATTAATTTTATTAATTTTTTGTGACATGAAATTTTATTATTATTTCATTAATATATAATTAAAATAAAAAATATAAATCTAAAAGTTAGAGTGATTAAATTAGGAGTAATTTGAGTTAGGCAATTAAATTAAAAATATATATATAAACTTCGGTGATCAAATAGGAGTGAGAAAATAGTTGAATGGCGGATGATACAATTTACCAATAAAAAGGTTTCAAGTACAATAGTTTCATAAAGTTTTTAACGACGTGGTACCTGAACGATACAAAAAATAAATATTAGGTATGATTTTGAAACAAATAAAAGTTTAAGTACTAAAATAAAACAAAACTAATAGTTTTAATACTAAATGTATAGTTTATCCTAAATATAATACTAATGAATATAGATACGTTTAGAATTATCAGTATTTGCATGAACCAAGCGACCTCAGTGGTAAATGAATTGTTGTTATTCTTTGAGGTCTTGGGTTCGAGCACTAGAAATGTCATGGGTATAAGCGTTCAATGTCAAAATGGTTGAGAGTTATGTTTGAAAAGATAATGTGTTGTACTTACCAATATTAATAAAAAATATCTATATTTATATTAAAAATATATGAGAAAATAAATGACAAGATAAATATCAAAACTCGAGACAAATAATAGTAATGCTTAAGTATACAAAAGGTGCCTAACTTATGCCATTTTTCCAATTTAGTGCCTAACATTTATTTCGTTCTAGTTTGGTGCCTAACGTTTCATCACGTTACTCAAAATGGGTTAAACCATGACTGGCCGTTAAGTTTGGTTGTTAACTCATTAAAAATGCCACCTGACATATTTTTTAATATTAAAATATGTCACCTTAAACCCAAAACTTTGAAAACCTTCATTTCAACCTCTAAACCTACGTCGACCACCTCCTTTTGCCTTCGACAAAGTTCCACTCGACCTCCCCTCCCCTCCCCTGACGACCAAAACTCCTATGAAATCATGAATGATCGATGGTCCATCGGCTATAAAAATCGTGTGGCATCACAATTTTCATCCTAGGGTTCGTGAGGGCATAAAACGTTGATTCGTCATCGATCGGTCACGATTTCATGGGGGTTTTGGTCGCCGAGGGGAGGGGAGGTCGGGTGGAGCTTCGTCGACGGCAAAAGGCAGTGGCCGGCGTGAGTTTAGGGGTTAAAATGAAGAATTTCAAAGTTTTGTGTTTATTTCAAAATTTGTATTTTCTTTTTAATATATATATATATATATATATATATATAATAATTTTAATTTTTAAATTTTAAATACATTTTTTAAAATTATCAGGATATAACGCGTGTCACTTAAGGAGAAAATTAACGCCATTGATGGCCCAAACACCTAAATGAATAACGTTTATAATGTTAGATATCAAACTAGAATGAAGTAAATGTTAGATACTAAAGTGGAGAAAGGAGCATATAGATTGAGCACCTTGTATACTTAAGCCTATTTGTAATGGGAAAAAAACATGATGAAATTAACTAGTACCCAATTATTTGACTTCCGCTCCATGGTTACATTTCACGTGGCAAGCGGAAATTCTTTAAAGTATTTGTCGCTCTCAATCTAACTTGTGACCAGTTATATTTTGTCGGAATATTTAAAAAAGGTAAATTACAAATTTGATGTTTAAACTATTAGTTTTAGTATCTAATATTTTACTTTTTTTCAAAATCATAACTAAAGTTTAGTTTTTGTTTTATTTTAGTACTCAGACGTTAAAAAATTAAGGCGTTTAGTACCTTAACTTTAAAAAAAATTCAAAAGTTAAAAATTTTGAACAGAGTACTAAAATGAAATAAAAACTAAACTTTAAGTATGATTTAAAAAAAAAATTAAAATTTAAGTACTAAAACAGACTAAAACTGGTAGTTTAAGTACTAAACGCGTAATTTACACTTTAAAAATATGCTAAAATTTTCAGGTGCAATTGAAATTGTTGTTGTTTGTTTACTTCAGAATGATTAAGCGCGGAATGATTCAAATGTTGAATGATTCAGAGGCTTTGTATGAATTAGCTCTGAATGTGACATGTTGTTTGATAATGGCTTTGAATAATTCAGAATGTACTTTGATGCTGAATCATTCAACACTGTTTTGCTGAATCATTCAACACTGTTTTGCTGAATCATTCAACACTGTTTTGCTGAATCAGTCAGCACTGAATCATTCAGTACTGTTTTACTGAATCAGTCATCACTGAATCATTCAGAGGTGCGAAACAAACGCGCTGAATTGTTCTATTCAGAGCCAAACAAACAACCCCTTAATTTGTCTTGTTACTATCAATATTTTGTTGTACTCAATTTAAAATTTTCAATAATATTTTGAAGTACAACCGAATTTGTTATTGCAACTTATAATATCTTTGCTATCAACTTTGTTCAAACTTGTTTTTTAAACTTTGGTAACATTTTCGAGATATATTTGGAGTTGTTATGGCAACTAAGAATATTTTTTGCCCCCAACATAATTTGTTACTGTTAATATTTTGTTAGGTCCAATTTATATATTCCGATAACATTTCATCTGCAATCGGATTTATTACCGCAACTTATAATATTTTTAATTCCCAATCTACTTTATTATCGTTGATATTTTGTTAAACCCATTTTGTAAACATCGGTAACATTTTCAGATCAACCGAATATGTTATAAAAAATGACATCGTTTTCTATTGCACGTTACAATGTTTTATATTTTACTTTATTTATTCTTCAATTTCATCAATAACCTCTCAAAATCAGTCACATCATTTTATCACCGTTATTTTTCATTTTATTAATTTTATTAATTTATCGATCGTGAACGATTTATCTCTTAATGAAAAAACAATCGTTAACCGATATTTTCATATTACAAAGAGGTGATCATGAGGAAGAAAGATAAATGAGAGAGATGATTGTAAAGATGCCCTCACCTATTTCATTCGTGTTGAAGGGTATTTGTAATGAGTTTTAGTGCGTCTATCAGTTGTAAGATCATTATGATTATTTTTAGATCGATAAATTAGATAGATTTGATAGTCAAACTTTGAATTTAGTTCAAACATATCATGTGAGTGTCTATAAAAAATTTGTTGGAAAAAAGGTGAATTTAATTGATGGATTTAATATTTATATTAAATTCATAGTCCTTTTGACTATTGTAAATTAAAAAATAATTTTTAATTTAAATATTAGTAGGATAATTACTCTTTTAATAAGTCAATTTAAAAAGGTATTTGTTATCTTTTTAATTTTGAATATTAAAAGATAATTATATAATTTTGTATATTTTAAATTAAAATAATATATGTTTAAGTTTGAATAGTAAAAGGAGTTTACCTTTTGACCATTGCAAAATAAATATATTATTTAATTTGAATATTAGTATGATAATTACTCTTTGAATATGTCAACTTAAAAAGATATTTGTTACCTTTTTAACTTTGAATATTAAAGATAATTATATACTTTTTTATATTTTAAATTAAAAAATATTGTTATCCGTTTAATGTTGAATATTAAAAGATATTCGGTTGGATTAAATCTCTCTTGAAAATCCCCTATAAATAGTGAGTAAACATGTTAGGTTTTTCACATCTTAACATATCTCACAACTTAGTTTTTCAAGAACTTCTTTTATCTTGAAAAAGTTTTATCTTCCTTATTTTTTTTGGTGATAGTCGAAGGCAAGGAGCGTTTGTGATATGTGCATATGTGCTACTGTAACTGATAATTAGTTGTTGTATCATGGGAGACAGACGAGCAATGAACTCGAGTACCAAAGGAGTGGCCGAAAATCTATCTTAAGGAAATGTGTAGCAACGAGCCTCAACTGATTCCGATCGATATATCAAAATAAAAGGAGTATTTTATTTCCATTTGTTTTTATCTTATCTTCTAAGAAGTTTAACATTTCTTGATTTATTTTCTCAAGATTGATTTTGTCTCAAATTGTTATTTCGGATAACAATATCAAGATAAGATTAAACTCGTTCATTCTCTTTATCAATTTGTACTTTTTTATATTTTATAACGATATTTATTCATTATTATTTTTGTATATCATTATCGAATTAATGTGTAGGATTGTTTAACAATATCTTGTTTATATAATGGGTGAGTGATATGTTTGACGATTGAAAGTGTTAGAAGTCATTTTTTTTTGGAGAAATAGTCATGTGATTTTTGAATTTGTCCAAATTTGTAAGGATGGGGTTCAATACTACAAGGCCAAGATTATTTTGAACTCGTATACTTCTCTAATCAATTTAACAAGCAAATTTGTTTGGACAAGACATTATAAAAATGATTTTTTTTTATTTGGAGTGGTTTGAATTTTTTTTAGTAAGGTGAATGTTATAGTGACGGTGGAAGTTGACCGATGTAATTGACATATTTCAAAAGACAATTGAAGCACTCAACGTCTTTAAGTTTTTCATCACTGAAACACCATGATTAGTCTCCCTCTTCGTTATCATTATACTCAACCGAAGTACCACGATTGATCTTCCAAAGACATAGAGATTAAGACGTTGGATTTTGTCGGAGAAGAAAAATTGAAGACGTTGAGTGTTTCAGCCGTCTTTTGAAAAACACCATATACTTTTGTCAACTTTCGACGTTTACGGTAACATTTAACCTACTTTAAAAAAAATTCACAGTCCAATTTCAACTTTTTCCCCCCAAATTCCCATAAGAGCATTTTTGCCCAATCTAACACATTGGGGTATAGTTGAACGTTTGATCGAGTCAAGTGATTAGGTAAAAAAATTCGAGTTATTTGAGTTGATGAGTACTATTTTATATCACAAATTTGATTTAATTTTTTTGATTCGAAAATAGTTTATAAAATTTGAGTAGAGTTGAATCAAGTCAAATTTTTAAGTTTTTGTTTAAATTTAAGTGTAAATATTTATAATATTGTATACTATTTTATTCAAATTTAAATATTTTTTTATAATCATATACAACACATTTTTTTATATGTGATATACATATATCATATAAAGTCGAAGAACTCGACTCAAACTTGAAAAACAATTCACCAATTACTAAATCGAGTTATTGAGTTACCATTCGAGTTGTTTTTTACAACCCGATTTCAACTTGAAATTTTTTCGAGTCGAGTTTATGAAATTACAACTCAAACTTAATTCGAGTCGAATCTTTTCAAGTCAAGTCGAGTTAAAAATATCAATTTTTCGAGTCAAATCGAGTTTTGCTCACCTTTGATAATGTTGTCTAAAAGCACTTTTAGATAAAATGTTCGTTTTGATCACAAAATCAATGCAAAAAAAGGTAAAAATTGAAAAAAATATTGTGGAAATGATGGTTTCAAACCAATCGCAAAAGCTGAGATTTTTAGCTTTTTTATTTCTAATTTTACGTTTAGAAACAAATTTATATTTTTATCCTTACTAATACATGGCTCCCCTCATTTACTCTGGATAAGAACTTTGAAATGTATATTTTTATTATAAGTTAAATTGGTATATTTTATATATAATAATAATATTTTATTTATAATATCCATCTTTTTATTTTTGAATGGTCAAAAAAATAAATACATCATTTATTATTTCACTTTAATTTTTACAAGAGTTAAACGGAATTATTAAATATTATTTTAAAATTGGGTAAATTACGCATTTAGTATCTAAACTATTAGTTTTGGTCCATTTAGTATCCAAACTTTTAATTTTTTTCAAAACAATACCTAAGTTTAGTTTTTTTGGTTTCATTTTAATACCACAGTTCAAAATTTAACATTAATTTTTGAATTTTTTTTTGAAAGTTTAGGCATTAAAATAGACCAAAACTGATAGTTTAAGTAATAAACACGTTAAGTTTTTAATGACGGAATACTAAAATGAAACAAAAACTAAACATTAGGTATGGTTTTTAAAAAAATTGAAAGTTTTGGTACTAAAACAGACTAAAATTAAAAGTTTAGGTACTAAAATGGACCAAAACTAGTAGTTTAGGTACTAAATGTATAGTTTACCCTTTAAAATTCAAATGTTAAAAAGTATTGATAATATATTTTTCTTAATAAAATAAATATTATTAATAACTTATCTTAAAATATATTTTCATTATAGTGTGAGTTGATATATTTTATATCATAGTATTAAGAAGTGTAAATATAATTTAAATGTTAAAATTTTAATTTACAATATAATATCTAAAATATATATTTTATTTTTAACTTGTTTCATCTAGTATACATTGTAAGCAGTTGTAGCTGAAAATTCTTATAGTCGTAGATAAGAAATTCTACTGTTAAATTTGTTTATTGAGCATCACATCTGAAATGTATACCGTTTAGTGGGTGCTGATCCGCTGGAAGCTTGTATACCATGTTAAAGCTTTTGCTGCAAAAGGGGTGTGGATGTGCCCAAAAACTAGACGCTATGCCAATTGCTTGGTAAGGGAAATATTCCTACTTTCTCATGTTTTATGACATTTGATTTTCAATATTGTTAAGCGTTAACTGCAAAATGAAAATGGATACTGTAGTTTTATACAGAAAGAATGGCCAAATCAGGTTATATATTGTAATATATCGTGCTCATTGCTTAGGAACACAAATGAGTATATACACAAGCATTTCATGTTTTAGTTGTTGAACTA